CCCAGGCGGGTCTCGAACCCGCGGGCTCAGGCAATCCACTCACCTCAGCCTCCCAAGGGCGCGGGATTACAGGCTGAGCCACCGAGACCAGCTAGTTCCATTTATTATTTCTGCCTGGCAGGGGAAAAAGATCTGCCTCACACAGGCCAACCTCCAGTGAGCTTTTCTCAGAGAGGCATGTTCCACAGACCATTATTCTGAATGTCAGAAGATAAATGAGACTCTGGCACATTTCCAAGAGGCACTATCTTACGAAAAGACGCATTCAGCTAACTGTGTTGAATGTTATCACGTCAAATACAAGGGCTCTATGGACTGCTATGTTTATGTTTTATGTTGGTATCTTACCTCCTCCCTCTCTTGGGAAGAGATAGCAAATCCCCAGGAGTCCTAAAATTGTCACATGAAGTTCAGAATAACCCAATTTTTTATTTATCAGGAAACAGAATAGGGAGATAGGGTCCCCAAAAATGTGTGAAAATTAGAGAAGTAGGCTAGATTCATTGTCTCTTAGGCCAAGTCTTATCTGGACTCCACAGCGCCTGTACCATATCTTCCAGAAGCTTCTCTCTCCTCTCAGCCACCCACAGAGAGGGGTGGAAGTACTGTCACTTCTGTAGATATGGACTGTTTTGGTAAAATGCAAGTACTGTGGGAATGCATCTGGGAAAAAGATGTCACTCATTACTTAGAAAATTGGGACTTTTACTAAATCACATCAGGAAAGGCAGTAGACAATGATAACCACCTTTAGAAGAGAACATTTGTTAGGTATAAGACCTAGACAAGACCCTTTTCCATTACTGCTAACAAATTACAGACAACTGTAATTTGTCAGGGTCTCACTTTGTCACTCAGGCTGGAGCGCAGCTGTATGATCATGGCTCACTGCAGGTTCAAACTCCTGGTCTCAGGTGATACTCCTGCCTCGGCCTCCTGAGAAGCTGGGACGACAGGTGTGTGCCATCACACCCAGCTAATTTTTGTTTTTTTTTTTTTAAATGTATTGTAGAGACACAGTCTTGTTATGTTGCCCAGGCTGGTCTAGAACTCCTGGCCTCAAGCAATCCTTTTGCCTTCCCCCCAAAGTGCTGGGATTATAGGTGTGAGTCACCCACATTTGGTCCCAACAATTATTTGGTCATGGGAACATAACACTATAAAAGTTCCATAGTGGCCAGATGTGGTGGCTCATACCTGCAATTCCATCACTTTGGAAGGCTGAGGCAGGAGGATTACTTGAGGCCAGAAGCCCAATACCAGCCTGGACAACATGGAGAGACCTCATCTCTACCAAAAAAGAAAAAAAATTACTTGGGCGTTGTGACACATGCTTGCAGTCCCACCTACTCAGGAGGCTGAGGCAGGGAGACCGCTTGACCCAAGAAGGTTGAGGCTACGGTGAGCAGTGATTGTGCCACTGCACTCCAGCCTGAGCTAAAGACTCTTGCATCAAGTGCGGCTAAGCAGAGGACATATCCCCGTAGCCACTGGGAATGAGGCATGTTGTCTGAAGTCAGGGCTTTAAGTCATAGGGTGTATCTTTTGTACTTAAAAGATTGGTGGCTATCTCATTTGTTTCTGTCTCATCTTTTGTGATTACACCTTCACACCTTTGTTGACCGATCTCAACATTTCCAGAAGGCATCTCTGTAGACTAAGTATTCATAATACCCGAGGGCAGTAGTTCTTACTCTGGAACATTCCAGAATCACCAGTGCCTAGCCTCTAGTCCACACCAATGATGTCAGACTCTGGCAGTCGTTCCTGGGTAGTGGCATTTTCATTAAGGGCCTCTGGTCATTCCAACGAGTAGCCAGGGTTGAGAACCATTCTTAGACGGATAGTTCATATAAAACCAGAGAACAGAAAAGAATATGAACAGGGTTGAACAGGGTCCTCGATCTTCTGCTCAGCCTTCTTATGCCTCCCTTGATATTTCTTTTGCCCTGTTGAAATCTGCCCACCTCACTGTGTCTGCATCAAATTTCTACTCCTGAGAATAATTCATCAACCCTGAAAATGAAATGCCCAAATAGAATATGCTCTACAGTCTAGGACTTTCCAGTGATTTAATTATCTAATTACTGGGAACCGGCTGCCAAGCACAAGCGATTTCATTCAGTTTCACTATTTTATAACACAGTTCAAAGAACATTTGAATTTCTAATTCAATTTTTGTTCTTTTTGAGACGAGTCTAGAGAGTTTCGGAAATCTCTAATGATGGCTCATTATTGGACTTATAATCACTGTGGGGCTGCACTCCATATTTGGTGTGGAAGAATACACATGCTGAAGGAGAACTGGGACTGAGAGAGCTACTGAGTCTAACCTGTTTTTGTGTTAAATAGACTCCCCTGACCGAAAGATGGAAGCCTAAGGGGGAGGAAAGCTGAATGGGACCCCGAGAACACAAAGACAGAGAAGTAGAAACAGTAGCAGCCAGGCCAGGCACCACAGTGCTCATCTGTCCCTGGGTCTGCTCTCTAGGACAACACAGACTCCTAAGCTTAAGAGCACATGTGCTCATTGTTCTTTCTTCCCAGAAAGCCAGAAAACTAGGGCAGTTCTGGAACAATAAAGAAACTTGTGTGGCTAAGATAGCATTCCCAGACTTTGAGCAAAGAACTTCTTGGTTTAAGACAGCTACTCTTCAGCCCTGAGCCGCCATGGTTCAAGGGCTGCCAGGAAAGGCAAGTCGTGAGTGGTGCCTCCCAGGCAGCCAGAGGACCAAGCAGTGCCAGCCACCACCTAGGTGATGCCATAGCTGCAAACATCATAGGCTTGGTATCAAATTTGCCTCTAGCGCCTCTGAAATATCCGGGGGAAGTGTGATATTTACGCTAAGGCAATTCGCCCCTGTCCCCAAACCAACAAATGCTCGTTTTGAGAGCAGTTAGGTACTCATACACATGGTACACATTTTTGTGTCCAACGAAGAGAGCACAGTTTCCAAATGGCCAGCAGATGGTGCCCAAAGGCAGGAGCAGTGCAAAGAAGGGGCTTAACCTCCAGAAGCCCCAAGTAAGAGCAAACCAGGGAGCAAACAGGCCGCCTCTGGCGTCCGTTGGCCTGCAGAATACTAAGTAACCAGTTTTTAATTACTTTCCAACATTTAAAAATAAAAGATATATTTCATATAAAACCTATGTTTCCAGATTCCTTAGAAATATTGAGACATCTAGAAACACTGGACTCTAATATTGAACTGAACAGCGACTGTCCTTTAAAGGAGCCAATTTGCCATTGTCCTTCCTCTGCTTTGCTTACTGTTACTGCCTGGACACTGAAGACATGTGACTCTGTCACCTCTGCACACAACCCTAGCCCAACCTACAGACTTCATTTCTTTGCAAAATGTCTTTATAATTGCAAAACAAAGGGAAGTTAGCGCACAGGATGAGACTGTCACAGATGATGTGACTCAGAAGAGGATTTAAATGAATTTGCATTAGATGTCCAAGGTGTGGGACGTTGCCTGAGAGACAAAGTAGCCCTGGAGATCTGAGCACTGGACAGTGTGATCTGTTCCAGCAACCCTCAAAACCCATGCATGGGCCTCAGGGCAAGTCTCTCAAACCAGTTGCCCATCTGTTTGTTTTTGGTATGTGGAGAGCAAGCGGAAACCTCTCTCTCTCTCTCTCTCTCTCTCTCTCTGTCTCTCTCTCTCTCTCTCTCTCTTTTTCTTTCGAGTCACGATCTCACTCTCTCGCCCACACTGGAGTGCAGTGGCGTGATCCTGACTCACTGCAGCCTCGACATCCTGGATTCAGGTGATCCTTCTGCCTCAGCCTCTTAAGTAGCTGGGACTACAGGCAGTGCACCACTACATTCAGTTTATTTTTGTATTTTTTGTAGAGACAGGACTTGATATGTTACCCCGGCTGGTCTCAAACTCCTGGACTTAAGCAAGACTCCCGCCTCAGCCTCCCAATGTGCTGGGATTACAGGCGTGAACCACCACACCTGGCCTGGAAATCATTTTCTTACTCTTTATTAGTAGGGATTATGCCATCGGTGTGCCAAAGAAGGAGAAGAGTAGCCATTAGAAGCCATTTCCCTACTGAGGAAAGGGCTCAGAAGGTGGCATCCAACTGGCTACTGAGGACGCCACACCTGTGTGACCACTCCAGGCTCCTGGATGTGCTCAGCTCTCAGCACTGTTTGGGTTACTAGCTTCTGGAAGTCGAGAAGGATGCCTGGATGGCATCTAAGCCAGCACTCCATTCTCAGTGCCCAACCTACCACCAAGGGTGTGGTTGGGGGAGGTGACACAGAGCAAACACGAGTTTATCCAGAAAAGCACAACCCCGCCTCCTTACTTCCCAGGACCAGGAGACAGACTTGCTGCTGCGGCAGACCCACGAAGGGCCATTTTCCTCCCCCTTTGATTCCTTCAGCTCATTTATTCCTCAACAGTGGAAAAGGGTAGGGAAAAGCCGGCTCACACCATTCACATCAAATGCAGATGTTTTTCTTAACAAATCATCCACAGTAGCTGTTTTACCTTATGAATTCATCTTCTAGTCTCAATTCAAAGTTCTAAATACATCACAGCTTCTTGCAGGAAAAAAAAAAAAAAAAGCCTGGCTGACGATCCCCTTTGTGTCTGCTCCCTGTGGAGGAAGATGGAGCCCACACTGTCAAAAGGCAGCCTGGACGGGCTGTGGGCCTGCTCCCTGAGGCTCCCTCCTTTCGGCTCTTGTCCCAAAGCAGATGTTGAATGGTTTCTTCCTGTGTCAAATCATATGTGGCTTACAGAAGCGGTGGTCGATGGACTGCCGTTACAATGGAAGGATCTAGGCCAGGATTGTGTGTGTGTGTAACAGGAAACCATGCCATTATGATTCTGCTCTTGGGGACTTCAGTTAACCTCAGGAGAAGGATGGCAGCAAGAGCCCAGAGAAGGGGAAGGAGGACTGAGAACAGGGGAGCAGGAGAATGCTGCCTCGAGGGACCTGAGTCAGAGGATGCCGTGTGGGAGGGACACCGTCTGTACCTGGAGCTGCCGCATCTGCTGGAGCTGGAGCCTGAGTTCCGCCACGCTCCGCCTCATGTCAAGCAGGCTCATGTGGAGGGCCGGGGTGCCTGCGGGCGGACGCTGGCCAGGGGGCGCCGGGGACTCCAGGGCGCCGAGGGTCTTCCCGCCAGCCACATGGGGAGTTCCTACGAGAGAAGAGAGGCAGAGTGCTTAAGAAGGCTGGAGAGGAACGCCTAGGTTGTAAGCCCAGAAGCCTCATCCCATTGCAGATTGCTGGCAACCCTAAGAAGGCCTCTATTTCTCATTACAAGAAAATAACAAAAGATAAATCACGCAATGTTACATGCAGTCTGTAAGAATCACATTCTAGAAGCTCATTGTCATAGGAAGGCAGGCCACAGAGCAGCTTATGCTTCTATCTATCTATCTATCTATCTATCTATCTATCTATCTATCTATCTATCATATGTCTATTTTGTATATATCTATATATTTATGTATCTTGTTTATTTTTTTGAATTGGAGTCTCACTCTTGTTGCCCAGGCTGGAGTGCAGTGGCATGTTCACGACCCCTGCAGCCTTGACCTGTTGGGTTTAGGCAATCCTGCCTCAGCCTTCCAAGTAGCTGAAACTACATATGCACGCCACCACGTCCAGTTAGGTATCGATCTTTTTTTTGAGTTGGAGTCTCACTCCATCACACAGGCAGGAGTGCAGAGGCACACTCATGGCCACAGCACCTTTGACCTGCTGAGCTCCACTCCGGTGATCTTTACACCTCAGCCTTCCAAGGAGCCAGACTAGAAGTGCATGCTACCACGCCCGGCTAATTTTTTTGATTTTTATTGTAGACATGAGTTCTCACTATGTTGCCCAGGCTGGTCTTGAACCCGCAAACTCAGGCAATCCCTTGCCTTGGCCTTCCAAAGTGCTAGGATTATAGGCTTGAGCCAACACGCCCAGCCAGTATCTATCTTTTTTAAACACAAAAGGGTTGCACAGAGAAGAGTTTAGAAGTATAAATATCAAAGTATTAATGGTATCTCCAGCTGATGGTATTGTAATATAAGGTTTATATTTTTATTACTATTTTTGTATTTTTAAATCTGCATAGTGAATATCTGTAATTTCATAATAATTTTTAAAAATTTCTGAGACCTAATATGGAGTGTTTGTGTGACTATTTCCTGAATGGCTGAGGTACCCTAAGGCCATGCACCTTATTTCCGGGCAGAGATTCATTTAATTATCAGGAGGAAACTAAGAAGAACTGGTTTCTGTCCTGAATCCCTTCAGGTTTCCAAAACCAAAAGAAGTAGGACTTTTGTACACATCTCCTGTTAGTAAGAAAATGAGGCATGGCACGAAAACTCTGTAGGAGAGGGATCCGAAAAGGCGGAAAGCAGTTCTCCCTAAACTGGTCTCTAGTGACCATAAACTTTTTCTCTTTGAGTCCAACTTAAATAATTCTCATGTATTTCAAAAGTCTACCAGGGAAGGGCCTGATTTGACCAAGTTCACTTTCAAAATATCGGGGTAGGCAGCAAGCAAGATGTGAGGGAGCTGCACCGGGCTCGGTGGCTCAGCCTGCAATCCCAGCACTTTGGGAGGCCGAGGCGAGTGGATTGCCTGAGCCCACGGGTTTGAGACCCACCTGGGCAACTTGGCGAGACCTCATCTCTACAATAAACTAAAAAAAAAAATTAGCCGGGCATGGTAGCACGCGCCTATAGTTCCAGCTACTTGGAAGGCTGAGGCGAGAGGATCACCGGAACCCAGCAGGTTGAGCCTGAGGTGGCCGGGGAGCAGCCACTGCACTCCAGTCTGGGCGACAGAGTGAGACTCCAACTCAAAAAAAAAAAAAAAATGACTCAGAATCCCTAATGGGACTTATCTGATTCAGCAAGGTTGAAGGTATGAGAATTAAAAGGAAGTGCTGTTTCCTTTATAGGACAATTCAATTCTATGGAACAGGCTCCGGGGTAGATGCTGAATCCACATTACACACACACACACAAACACATACACACACAACTTCGATTCTCTTTCCTGCAAAGGGAAAGGTGGAAGGTTTGTCACCAGCCAGGCTGACCTCGCAGGACAGAACACTGCTGTTCTGCTGTTTATCTGTAGAAGTGGAGTGTTTACAACGCGATGACTAGTCTTCCTGTCCTGGATCAGCGACCGTGGGAACTTTTCCTTCCCCAGCACAGCCTCAGTGGGGCTGCTGCCACTGGCTAAAGGGGACAGGCAGCAAGCAAGATGTGAGGGAGCTCCTCACAGCTGTCCTCTTCCTTGCCTGGCCTCATGGGTGGAGAGCTGATGGCATACTATGCCCTTTACCCTTGGGGGACAGTTCCAATAGGGACAGACTCCCAGTCCCTCAAACAGCCCTCTTGGGGACGTCAGGGGAGCAGGCCAATAGGTGTTTTATGAACTGACAAAGGAGTCCCAGCAGGCCGGACTGTGAGCTTTTTATTTTTATATGTCTAAATGGTGGTCAGGCCCAGTGGTTCATGCCTGTAATCCCAGCACTATGGGAGGCCGAAGTGGGAGGACTGCTTGAGTCCAGGGGTCTGAGACCAACCTGGGCAACATAGTGAGATGCCGAGACCTTGTCTCTACAAAAAATCAAAACATTTAGCTGTGTGTGGTGGCATGTTGCTTTAGTCCCCACTACTCAGGAGGCCAAGGTGGAAGAATTGTCTGAGTCCTGGAGGCTGAGGCTGTGGTGAACTGTGACTGTGCCCCTGCCCTCACACCTGGGCAACAGAGTGGAACCCTGACTCAAAAAAAGAAAAGTCTAAATGGTCACTAACAACATCACCAGTCATATCTCTGACCAACTTTGTGTTGCTCCCCTGCCCAAATCAAAATCACCTCCCAAAGAGCAAGATTCGCCGTTTCTGCAATTGCTCCAAAGGATATTGTCCAACTATGAAGGTACTAAGTGAAAGAATTGCCAATGACATTTCCAGGCACAACAGATGCTAGAATTAACTTAGCACCTTCCAGTGTCAATGGTTCTGACCACAGTTCCCTGGAAGTTTTTCCTTTGAGAATCAGCCAGATGACTTTACCATCACTCCCTTACAGACAGGCATCAGGGCATGTGTATTTGCAAACGGGCACACACATTCACAGTATGCAGCAGCATCTGGGCAATGAATGAGACCACAAACTATGTCCGTTCTGCTAACTCCTCAGCTAAGGGAAAGCCCACATTCCTTCCTCATCCCTCCTTCTCCTTACACATGACAAATGTCTTGACAGAATCTACGTTCTACATTTTTTTTCCTTTTTGAGTTGGAGTCTCACTCTGTCGTCCAGGCTGGAGTGAAGTGTAACACTCACTGCCGCCCCAGCGTCGACCTGCCGGGCTTAGGCGATCCTTCTGCCTCAGTCTTCCAAGTAGCCGGAACCACAGGCGCGCGCTACCATGTCCTGCTAATTTTTGATTTATTGTAGAGACAAGGTCTCACCAAGTTGCCTGGGCTGGTCTCGAACCCATAGGCTCAGGCAATCTACTCATCTAGGCCTCCCAAAGCACTGGGATTACAGGCCAAGCCACCGAGCCCAGCCAACACTACATTTTAAAGATGTCTTCATCTATAACCTTTTAATCCATGACATTTGGCTTCTAGGGCCATCATTCACTGAACTGGCTCTTTGGAAGCAGTGATGTCCTAGCTGTCAGAACAATGGACATGCCCCTGGGCTGATGTGACTTCAATGTGATGCTGAGATTTTTCAGTCACTTCTTTCCTTTCAGTCACTTTGAAACTTTTCTCTCTGCTGCTTCATTTTGTCAATCTCTCTCTTTTTTTGAGTTGGGGTCTCATTCTGTTGCCTAGGCTGAAGGACAGTGGTACAATCTTGGCTCACCACAGCCTCTACCTCCTGGGTTCAGGTGATCCTTCCACCTCAGCCACCCAAATAGCTGGTACGATAGGCATGGACCACCACGTACGGCTAACTTTTTGCTTTTTTGTAGAGAGGAGGCCTCGTTGTGTTGCCCAGGCTGGTCTTGAACTCCTGGACTCAAGCAGTACTCCTGCTTCAGCCTCTCAAAGTGCTGCGACTACAGGTGTGAGCCACCACACCCAGCCTTTTCTAATTTCTTTTGTTGTCAACCTCTTAAATGCTGGGTTGTTGTACCCTGGGTCTCTTCTTGTTGAACACGTTTTCTAGGCAGGTAATGCCCACTACCACCACCTGCCAGGGTCTCCCACGTCCTTGTCTGCAGTGTATAATGATCTTCAGAGTCACATGCCACCACCTTCAAGTCACTTCTGAACTCTTCCATAGCAGGTCAAATTCACCATTTCCACTCATCTTCCCCAAGCTTCTTTCCATCTCTACAGGCCTATGTTTAGCCAGGGGCACTATTGTCCACTCAATTACTTCAATTCAAAACCTGAGAACCATTCTCCGTGTCCACTTCCTAGGGTATGACCTTGGACAAGTAATTTAATCCCTCTCTCTCTCTCTCAGTTTCCCTATCTGTAAAGTGGGTGTAGGGGTTATCGTGTGGACTACAGTACTAGCAAATATGCTAGCATCTGGCATGGGGGTGCCCTCACTGCAGTTAGCTGTGATGATTCTTTCTCTAAGCTGAGTAGGCGGGAGGAGTCTCTGACGCTGCCCCTTCATCACCTAGAGTCACAGCAGGTGTGGAAGGCTAGGGGTGGTGGTAGGGGGAGCAGCTGAGTTCTATAGGAAGTGCCCTGAAATCTAAGCTCAGGACGGAGATACATCTGGTGGCTGGGACCCCCAGTGGCAAAGGAATCTCCATTCTGATTAGATTCACAAGACTTGAGATCTGCCCTCCATGCCCACATGTGGGGAGCGGGGGGTGTCACAGACTGTTCCCCACATGCCCTGCCTAGAAAGGACAGTCAACATACAGCTTGTCCTCAGGATCTTATTCCTTTCCATACCCTTCACCCACTCCAGGTCTTTATTTTAGTCACTTTTATCTTAATATGAATCTATGTAAATACACATTTTATGTGGAATTTAATGTATCTTGTGATAAGAACATGTGTTTGGGCGTTGGCCAGACTGGCTGTCACTCCTACTAGCAGTGTGGCTTTCGATAACTAAACCTCCTTGAACTTCTGTTTCCTTCCATTAAAATACAGATATTCACATCTTATAGGGTCATGTGTGTTAAGTGGTCTAATGCACAGTGTAAAGCCTATGGCATACCTTTGAGATGGGTGCTTCCTCTACCGTTTATAGCCAGTCAATTACATATTCCCGAAGTAACCAGGAGGTCTGGGTTTTCCTTTTTCGTTTAACCTTGGCCAAGTGAACACCTTGACTTCTATAGAATTCAGTTTACATGTCTACAGAACAGAGACAATACTGCTTGTCTCATAGCTTACTTCCTAGGATTCTGGAAGAATTATTATATTTTGCACGCTATACAAGGCTGCTATAGCAACGAAGCCCCTGTGGACGATATCTAGCCCTGGTACATGAGAATGAGAAAGTCCAAACTCAGCAGAGATGTGGGGAGCGAGCCCACGTGTGTGTCGCCCATGGCATCGCAAATCGGCTCAGCCACTCAGAAGAGGAAACTGGCAGCATGTCACTAGTGTTACTAAACTGTTTGTCCCTTTGGACCCACAGCTGCCACTTTGGGAAATGTATCTGAGGAAATGACACTTGCTCAAAAAAGAAATTTATAAAATTTTCCAAAACAAAGAAATGAACCTATGTATTTTTTAAGGGACGGGGGTATCTTTTTTTTTTTTTTTTTGAGTTGGAGTCTCACCCCGACACCCAGGCTGGAGAGCAGTGGCACACTCACAGCCACCCCAGTGTCGACCTGCTGGGCTCAGGTGATCCTTCCGCCTCAGCCTTCCAAGTAGCCGGAACTACAGGTGCACCTGCCACGCCCGGCTAATTTTTGATTTATTCCAGAGATGAGGTCTCGCCAAGTTGCCCAGGCAGGTCTCAAACCTGCAGGCTCAGGCAATCCACTCGCCTTGGCCTCCTAAAGTGCTGAGATTACAGGTTGAACCACCGAGCCTGGCCGGGATGGGGGTATCTTAACATAGAAGAATGAGATAAAATGACAGCTATGTGGACTATGCCACATTCGTGTGGATGTGCATTTAGTTTTCTCCTTTGGCACATGGGATAAAAACTGTACCTATCCAAGGCTGAGTCCAGGAGTTAATGAGTGAACATATGAAAAGTATACAGGAAGCACTCACTACATGTTTCCTGTTATTATTCCACAAGAAGTGAAAAGAACTAAAAGAGTACAAAATAGCACATGTATATTGATTAGAACAATGGTATTAGATACTAATTGTTTCTAGAATGGATTCCAGAGGGAAGAAAGATTTTTCTGTTTAGCAGGTTCCATTTCTCCCTCTAAGTTCATAATAAATAAAACAACAAATGAATAAATAAATACCTCCAAAACAAACTGGCAACTGCTGTTTGGCGATTTCTGGGAAAGAATTCTCTGGCTTCGGCCAAGGCCACTGATTGATTTCTAAGCAAAATAACAAATCCGGTAAGGACCAGGACGCTGGCAGAACAGCCCTGTTGGCCTTGTAGCCAAACTGTGCTCAGCCAGGACAGAAGCAGGACCACAGCGCCCCGAGCTCGAGTCTCAAATTCTGTCCCCTCTACCACGCTGCACAAAACTAGCACACGTGGCTTCCCTAAATGTGGGGTTTCACCCAACTTACCATATGCTTCCTGTGTAATTTAGTATCTGAACGTGTCCCTGCTAAGGATTTCTATTTCTAGCCCAATGGGAGGGAAGACCTCATCCTCTTGGAGAGGCCTGTCTTGAGACTGCAGGATAAGACATTCATCACATAGATCTAGATACTACTGACATCACTGCTAATGAAACTGGGTCCTCTTTGTGGAGAATTTAAAAAGCAGACAGACACAAGGCAGAGTGCATCTTCTGCCGTCTGGACCACTGGCCACTCCCTATTGGCTCTTGTCTCTACTCATTCATTCCCATAATGCAGCTGGTCTGACGTCCTTCCCGAGGGTAGACCCTTCCCATGGCTTTGCTTTGCACCCAGAATAATATCTAATTTTCCTTGACCTGGATGGCTCTCCTGCCTCCTATATCCTCTTCATCCTTTGGGCCTCAGTTTATGTCACTTCCTCAGGGGAACGTCCTGAGTGTCAGCTAGCCCTGTTGGTTAAGCATTTATTCTGTACTTCTTAACACTCAAATCACATAAAATTACTTGTCTCATATCCACCCTTCCCCACAGCATTCTAAGTTTCAGGCAGGCAACCCCGTGTCTACGTGATGCCCACTGCATGGCCATATACATGAATAAATGAATGCATGAGCAAATAAATGAATGAAGACAAGTGAGAAGATAATACTTTGCTCCCTGAATTCATGACTAAATTTGGAATTTCGGCATTAACAGGAAAGGTGTGGGAGTGAAAGGCGTTATCTGGGAATCCTCTGAAAACACACCAAGTAAATGACTTAGGGGAAGGTGAAACACTGCTGAGAGCAGGGCTAATTCAGGCAGCCTGCAGGCCTTCCAGAGCTCTGAGAAACGCTCACTCACCTGCGCCGTCTGTGTGGCTCCTACTGGCTGCGGTTTTCATCATTTTCTCACTGAGTAAGAGAAAAAGTAGAGTCAGCTATACAGTTCTCCAGATGCTTTTGTTCTTTTCTTTCGCCCCATTCCATTCACCATTTGAAGCAATTAGCAGTGATGGGATAAAGCAATGAGGGCATTTGAGCATCAGCACCACAACTGGCCAGGATGGAAGGGGCTTCCCAGCTGTGTGCCTGGCACGCAGGGTGGGATGCAGCCGGGCACACTTGTGACTTTCATATGATGGCAACAAGGACACGTGAGGATGGCGGTGGCAGGCACTGTGCGGTGAGTTGTCCGTGAAGCCACATGCACTGGGAAGCCCATTTACCTTCTTAGGCCAAAGCGTTACCTTCGACCAAGAATTACCAGGAGGTGAAAACAAAACAAAACAGAAACCAACAGCACCCATGATTCATAGAGATGTGAATATTTTCAGCCTTGAAATGATTACAAGGAAACGGATTTGAATGAATGAATATCTTAATGATTAAAGAGAAACAGATTGAATGATTTTCTCATTGGTTTGCTTTCTTTCTTTCTTTCTTTTTTTTTTTTACCTAGATGCCTCTTTGCTATAACTTGTAATGGGCCCTTTAAAAAGCGCAGACTGAACAAGGCCAGTTAAACTGGCAATCTGTTTCTCCATGGCTTGCATCCTCTCTCTGTAAAACAAGAGAATTGTTTGTTAAAGCTCTGTTGACTTACAGACTGGTTTTTCCAGGTGAATGATCCATCTGAGGGTTATAAAAGGTACCACCTGGCAGGCCACTGAGGTTTACCCAACCTGGCTCAGGAACATAAAGAGTTGCCAACCCCCGCCTGAGGTCAAGATTCCATAATCAGTTTAGTGTCAAGCCAGTGACCTCACTTAAAAGGACAAGGCACAGACCGGTAGAGGCCTCCTGGAAAACTGATAATCACCTCCCTGGGAAATACTTCAGGTTGTTTGTCATGTGTCTCTGAGCCTCTCAGCCCTGCTTCGTTTAAGTCACCTTGCATGAAAAGGCTCCCCACTGAACCAGCAAAGTCCTCGGCCAGGTACTGCATGCACCTGGCCCGGCTAAGCGCACGTCTAAGCCAGGAGGCTGCTGAGTGGTTTGGGTGTAAATGATGGAGATGTTTGTTGTGTGGGTAGTAACAGTTATTTTATAGCTTAAGGGCAACACAAACACTTGTCTCTTCTTAAGACTGTAGAAAAATATGATTGAAATCCAAGTATGATTTGGGGGTATAATGCTCAATGTAATGTCATGGGGACTTCAGCCTGGAGGCTTTTACAGGATCAAGCAGGAAAACAAATATCCCTAACAGCTTGGTCATCTTAAGATGCTAATGAAAAATCCCTCCAATGATTTACTGTGAGACTCTGTGTCTCTCTCTTCAGGGCTCTCCAATGTGACAGTACAGTTCATCTGGCGTTTGAAATAGGATTACATGTCTGGACCTCAGACAACGCATACTTCATAAAAACAACACAACGACTAAGTGAAGAGGGCATGACAAAGGTCACCTCTTGTGAATTCAGTTACATGTGCTTGGTAGTCCAAACCAGAAAAAGAAGAGAGGAGGGAACGATCTAAATAGTGCGGGGATCTCCTGTGTGCTCTTTTCCCCCATGAACAGCTGTCACAGTGTATAGCGTAAGCTTGATAAGAGAAGGGACTTTGATCCGCACTGCAGGTCTCAGTCCTATGGGCCTCTCTTTGCATGAGTGATGGGAATTCCTAGCCACAAACAGCATATTCATATATCGTGGCTTTTTTTTTTTTTTAACATTCTTTTTTTTTTTTGAGTTGTAGTCTCATTTCGAAGCCCAGGTTGGAGTGCAGCAGCATGCTCACGACCACATCAGTGTCGACCCGCTGGGCTCAGGCGATCCTTCTGCCTCAGTCTGCCAAATAGCTGGAACTACAGGCACCTGCTACCACACCCAGTTAATTTTTTTATTTATTGTAGCGATGTGGTCTCTCCAAGTTGCCTAGGCAATCCTCTCACCTCAGCCTCCCAAAGTGCTGGGATTACAGGCTTGAGGTTTTTTTTATTTTAAGAGACACGGTCTCATTCTGCTGCCCAAGCTGGAGTGCAGTGGCTCAATCATAGCTCACTGTAATCTCAAACTTCTGGGCTCAAGTGTTCCTCCTGCCTCAGTCTTCCAACAAACTAGGACTACAAGGAGCATGACCAACACATTTGGGTGATTTTTTACATTTTTCTTAGGGACAGGGTCTTGCTATATTGCCCAGGCTAGTATCCTGGCCTGAAGCAATCCTCTCCTGGCCTCCCAAAGCACTGGGGTTACAGGCATATGTCACTGCGCCCGGCTCACTGTGGCTCTTAAGTACCAGCCATCTACTTCTTCCAGCACTCAGTGGAAAAAATAATGGTGATCTGTTCTTTCACTAGATTAAAAAAATGGCTAAGTTGGGCTTATTGAGAGACAGTACATGCGTATCCTAAACTTTATGGCAATCAAGAGGATGTTCAAGGGTAATTTTGTCCATAAAATTAAGTTTTGCCTTTGGAATATAACCCTTAGAACCGTATGACAAAGTGAGCTTAATTTTGTAATTACAAGCTTCTGACGGCGGGATTCCATGTACTTTCTTTAGTTTAAAACTGATGATCTGTTACAATACTGAGTCTCTTGGATATAAATCATGCAGTCTGGATAGTTAATGATTCTAAACCCAACAAAGGGAAAAAAAACTCTAAACAATATATTAATAGTAAGGTCTCCTCTCTGTTCTAATAATGTGACAGGAAACAAATCTCAAGAGGTTAGGGTATAAATGTATCCCTATGGAGTGACTTTGCAAATGTTTTCCAGGCATATCGGTTGATGCAAAACCTCTGAGCTATAGAGCGTTTACCATACCTGTGTTCTTGGCATCCTCTTTGCCATAAAATAGTCCATGTACCAAAGAGAAAAATTAGTAAGAAAGCAGATTAGTAAATAGCCATTGGAAATCCCGTTTATTGACTAAGTCACAGCAGTATCTCAGAAACAATGGGGGTGGCAGTTGATTATCCATCCGTCACGTGGGAGACATGGACTCACACCAAACTTCTATGAAATGAATGACTTTCTGGGGGAAATCCTTAGTACCGGGTAAAAGGTGTCCAGTACTGGCATTTATCCCATAGGGGCTCTGTCCGCCATGGCACTGGAAGTCAAATGGATGTCCCTAAGAGCAGAATTGCATTCAAGCCCACCTTGAAAGGTATTAGTTTACTGCTCTTATTCAGTCCTTGGAAAAGGCAAAGGATATTTCTTTAAGAAAAAAATAACATAGAATTTTTAGAGTCTAGACAACTTTGGTAAGGAAGTGGTTTAAAGGGTTCTGTACAGCTGGAGTGTGGGATACGAAGGCATGGTGACAACCTAAGTACGTGCTGAAGACAGTAATATTAAGAAAAGCAAGATATAGGTGAGTCTCATGTATGTACTTACTAACTGAGACTCTGCTGAGAGGAAAATGGCTGAAGGGAGTCCTGGAATTCCAACACTGGCCCTGAACACAACACTGATTAGGGCTACACCAGAGTTCCTTCTACTTCCTCTCTGGTCAAGAGGTTCCATTACCTTGTTCAACAAAGGAGAGCAGCAGCATTAAAAATGGAAACAAGCTGGGCTCGGTGACTCAGCCTGTAATCCCACGCCTTTGGGAGGCTGAGGTGAGTGGATTGCCTGAGCCCGTGGGTTCAAGACCCGCCGGGGCAGCGAGACCTCATCTCTACAATAAATCAAAAAATCAGCCAGGCGTGGTAGCGCATGCCTGTAATTCTGGCTACTCGGAAGGCTGAAGCGGAAGGATCGCTGGAGCCCAGCAGGTCGAGGAGGCTGCAGTGACCGGGAGGTCACTGCACTCCAGTCTGGGCAAACAAGTGAGACTCTAACTCAAAAAAAAAAACGAAACAATGGGCCCTGGCTGGGTGCGGCTCACACTGGTAATCCCAGTACTTTGGGAAGCTGAGGTGGGAGGACTGCGTGAGCTCGGGAGTTTGAGACCAGCCTGAGTAACATAGCAAGACCTTGTCTCTACAAAAAAAAAAAAAAGCACCCAAAACATTCCAGGTAAAGGATGCTGATCGTCAACTGATTCATCTTCATGGTTAGAAGTAGAGAATGTTACGGCACAGGCCGGGTTATCGACAAACTGGAGTCCATAGGACTTCAGAGACGCCTTTGGCATTTTCCTGATCTCAGTGAGCATTTGGCTTCTCCCTTGGGTTTCCCCCAGATGATGGTCTTAGAATGCAGAGAAAGAACATCCCCTGACTAGCATCCCACTCTCCTTCTTCAGGGCTATTGACAGAGTTGCAAAACTGCCGAAGACAAGAGTTTGGATATTTTAGAACAAATGAGCTGTCTCCACTCCAGGTAACCACATGGTTGGTTCTGCTTTTTTTTTTTTTGAGTTGGAGTCTCACTCTGTCACCCAGACTGGAGTGCAGTGGTCGCTCCAGCCACCGCAGCCTCGACCTGCTGGGCTCCGGTGATCCTTCCGCCTCAGCCTTCCGAGTAGCCAGAATTACAGGCATGTGCTACCACGCCCAGCTGATTTTTTGATTTATTGTAGAGATGAGGTCTCGCTGCCCAGGCAGGTCTCGAACCCGCGGGCTCAGGCAATCCACTCACCTCAGCCTCCCAAAGGCGCGATATTATAGGCTGAGCCACTGAGCCCGGCTGCAGCTCTGCTTTTTGTATCTGTGAGAAAGAGAGTGAACACTCCCTGGAGGGGGTCTCCTGCAGGATATGTCACCTGCAGGGCCACCAAGAGAAAGGCACGATAGGTCAGAGATACCGAGTTAGGTGACCGCTCTTCTGACATCCTCCCCAGAGACTACACTTGATCTTGACAGTAGAGGTGGGGTGGTCCTCTCCCCTTCCCCAGGAAACAGCAAGGCCTGAGAGGTTAGAAGCAGTGGTAACAGAGCACTGGGGACACGTGTGGGCTGCCCCGTTCTGGCCAAAGTCATTTTACAAAAATCCAACTCTTTAGACACATGGTAATGAGAAAACTTGTCCCTCCTATTTAATCATCAAAGTGTTTCTGGTTTCAGGATTTATTTTCGGGAGATTATCTGATTTATAAATTCATAAATAAGATTGTCTTTCCATTTCATGGTTGCTAATCTGGAAACAATTTTATGGTTTAACTAAATTACAGCAACTGGAAACTTACGCAGTCTTCTCCCATGATGAAATGTTATGAAGGATGTTTTAATGTGAAAGGGAAAAAAGTGAAATGCAGTGGAAGGAGAGAAATGAACACAACCCTGTCATTTTATTGCAATGGCAATTCTGCATGATAATCATCAGAATATTAAAGATGCTTAGGCTAATTCTTGCCAATATCACTTGGTTTAAGGTATTATGGGACTGACATAATTACTGTTGAAAAGATGGTTTAAAATGATTTCATAAACCATTTTATACCATTCCATAAACCATATTTATGTGATTAGTAAGTGTAGTCATTTAGTGTCATAAGTCAGCCTGGCTGAAGGAATCTTCTCAGGACCCAAACATAATATTAATAAAAACTTCAAGTCAAATTCAGGAAAGTGCTGATCCCAGGGTTAAAGTCCTGCTACTCTAACCAGCTTTCCTGCAAGCCCATGTCTGTCTGTGCAGATGAAGTAAAACTCATACTCCTGG